ATAATAATAATAATAATAATAATAATAATAATAATAATAATAATAATAATAATAATAATAATAATAATAATAATAATAATAATAATAATAATGGCTTCGAATACCATTAACATGGTACGTACTTATGTCTTTTAAAAGTAGGGCCACAAAGGGATCAAAACAAATTGGATATATGGATCCAAGTTTGATTATAAATATTCATATTCTAATTGGATTTTATCCATAAGATTTAGAATGGATTCAAATCAGACTCAAGTATATATGATTCTAATATTAAATACCACTAATAAGTCAAATTAAAAATGATAAAAATATTATGTTTTAAATAAAATAAACCAAAAGATGAATTTGATATTGTATATCATTAACAAAATGACTTAAACATGGCCATTTATGAGACTTTAGCCAACGAGTACTCAGTAAACATACTCCATTCAACCCAATTTTACTAGTAGATACATATTGGTTTTACATAAATATCAACATAAACATGAATGTTTTAATAATTATTGTACTGCATCCGATCATATTGGACCAAATTGGGGTAGATCCAATCCATATTCAATCTAATTATGAACAAATTTGGATAATATTAATCAGATGGGGTTTGAGTTTAATTTTGAATAAGCAGATACTTTCGCTTTTTTTTTTACTACTTTCTAATTATTTTCCATTTTCGATGTTTTTCAGAAATATGCAATTAAGGTTCCTTTCATTCCACTACTCTTTTCAAAACCGGATTGGACAGGACGGTTGGACTAGAAAAATCAGGATTCGGTCATCTGACCGGTTTCATTTTTTTCCAAAATCATTTTTTTCTTTAAAACCGTTGATTTTGATCAGCAAACTGAACTGGCCGATTAATCGTTACGGTTTTGACCGTTTTTCAAAATTTTAATTTTTTTTTGTCAGAACAGGCCGGCCATTCAGATCGAATGGTCGAACCGTTCGAATCAATAACCAAACCTCTGACCGGTTCGTTTTTAAAAACCATGCATTCCATTTCTGGCCAAATAGGAAAAGCACATATCAGCGTGAGTACATAGGTGTATGTACATTTAAGACATTGTTGGTTGACCCAAAGTAACACCGTCGTCTCTGTTTGGCAGCTTCGCGCGCCCATGGAAGCTTCATCTGAATCAGAACTTCTTCTTCTTCTGGGTGAAGCAAAGTTGCAGAGATTAGATGTAGATGCCACTTGGTCCAAAGAGTAAAGATGGTAACAGAGAGAATTTGTAGACTTTTGCACGGAATTGCTTTTCAATGTCGCATACCAACTAAAAATAAGTAGAAATCAGTCAAATCACCTCCACTCAAATTAGGATTGGGCTCGTTCTAAGGTTGTATTTGATATCTGTTTCTGGTAGAAATGTTTTGGGGGTTAATCAATACAGTTGGTTTTTTTTTTTGAAAAATTTCCCTATCACATCACATCACATCAATAACTATTTTTATTAAAAAAAATTATAGATTATTGTTGGCATTTAAAATCAAATTTGGCATTTCATGAAAAAGTGGCAATTGTACCTGCATTTGATACTAAAAATAGATTTTGTTTACGTAAATAATAGCCTGTTTTAACAAATATTTGTATTGATAAACCCCAAAGTTTTTAAGTTAATTACTTAGCAGCTTGAATTGTGGCAATATAGTAACTTGAGTATTAGTCAAGCATTTAGGATGTATTTGGTTTGAATTAAAATGTAGGGAACCCTACCATTCCCCTCGTTGCACTACCTTCTTCTTTCAAACCAAGGCAGCCTTAATTACAAACAAGGAAAAAATGAAAAAGGAAGAGATATTTAATTTCAATAGATATTAAGACATATGCATGTTATATAACCCCATAAACATTGAAATATACAATCTATCATAAAACCCTAACCAACCCAAATTAAAACGGATTTACCAGTGACCATGGTTCTCAAAACCGGATTGGACTGGAAAAATCAGGAATCGGACACTTGATTGGTTCCGTTTTATCTCAGAACTGTCATTTTGGCCAGAAACCATTGATTTGGTCAGTAAATCGCTGATTGAGGTGATCGATTTGTTTGAACCGTCAAGCTGTTTTTGGCCGTTTATTATTATTTTTATTGTTTTTGTCAGAATAGGCCATCCATTTGGTTTGAACAGTTGGACCATTAGACTCGGGATCCGGACCTCTGAACAGTTTACTGTCCGCTTCAGTTTTAAAAACCTTGCTAATAACTATACCATAAGGGAAATGGGTTCAACCAATAATGACATAATTCCATCTTTGAGCTTCCAGTCAGCAACTCCATGCCCATCTCGATACTGGTACATGAAGAGGGCTGTTTGTGCAAAATTTACTGCACTAGTTATAAATAGTGGTGGGAAAGGAGCAGAGGCATGTTCATTCATCTGCTTCCATGTCTTAGCAACCAGAGCTCTGATGTGTTCACGGGCGATTTCCTCAGAACAATCAGTGTCATGCATGTAACATTGGATTGATTTTGGAACATCACCTCTCCTCAACTCATCCTAAAAGAGGAAAAACAGAGATCAATCCAAATCTCATGAATTGTCATCTAGTTTTAAACTGAGTTATATTTGAAAAAGATGATATATGGAGTTGATCTGACTAATAAGGCAGTTTGGTTTGCTTCACACTTACTGATGAAGTTCCAAAATCATCAGCAAATCGAAAAATTAAGGATGATGACCGTATGATATTTGAGTATTTTCCCAGTTGCTCCAGTGCCTCCTTTGTGATGTTGTCTCTCGATGAGCAAAGATAATTCTGAGTTAGAACGAGAGGCAGTCCTACTGAAATCCAGGCATTGTTCATATACTCCTCAAGTGTTGGTTTATATCCATTGTGGTGCCACATTGCCTCCACCAAGTATGCTTTGCATAAGTCCACCCACTATAATATAAGAGAGAGCCATTTAAATTACAGACAAATAAAAAAGAACTGATGATGAAGAAAAAACATGGAAGAAAGAAATTAAAGAGATAGAGTACCTCTTTCTTCAAGTATTTTAATATGTCGTGGCCATGCTCTTTAAGGAAGTCGTAAGCCAATTCATTGGTTGTGTTGTAGAGAGCCATAAAACATATTTGCATGTACTCTGGAAGATCTTGTAAGTTATTTATATCCCACCTGCAAATCCAGTGTTGCTGAGTTTAATTCAAACTTTTTCCTCATCTACATGAAGTTTGAGTTTTAAGCTCTTTAATATTGGTGTTCTTGCTCCCCCTTCTTTTTATTTAATTATCCTCATCTGTTGAGGTTCTGTAGTATATATATATATATATGTGTTATTTATTTATTTATAAATAAAATTTTATATTATATTTTTTTAAATTTATTATATTATTTATTTTTTTTATAAAATATATATATATATATATAATGAAAATAATACTTGTATTTTTGTTTTTATTTTATTTAAATTAATATATTTTAATTTTTTTAATAATTTATTAATTTTTAAAGAAAACAAGTTGGATTAGATCAGATTTGACTTACCGATAAGATTTGAGTAAAAATCAAGTCCTATTGGATCCAATCAGATCTTCAGATTGGATCGAATCTGGCATAAACAGTGTCGCATAAACATTAATTTAAAAAAAAAAAAAAACTGTTTTTTAGGTCTAATGATATTTGAGAAACCTGAAATATCTTTTGACAAGACTTGAAAAACAGGCTCTTAGTAATTTCAGAAACAATTATGTAAAATCTTCCCATATAGGTATCTAATTGCAAACAAGTGAGTAACCAAAGATGTTCACTTAGGGGTGTGGGTACTATAGCCACTTAAAGTGTGGTGGTTTGAAATGATACATTTTAGAATATATTAAAGCTTTAGTAATATTAATGTTTCGTACTATGGTGGCTTGGTCTCTTACAAAGCATTGGAATTTGAAAATTGAGAAGTAAATACTTTTGTCAAAATATAACCATCCTCAGTCTGTGTTAATAAACATGTTTTTACATGGTGCATTTTAGAACCTAAGAGAATGGGCATGCATTATAGTGCTGAACACTCCCTTAATTGTAAAGGCAAAGGCCTTAACAGTATACCAATTGGCCTAGTTGGTAATCTTTGATTTGTTGTCATAGGAGTAGGGGTGCAAATGGATGGACCAAGTCCGATTTTATTTTGTTGGATTTAGTATCTCTATTTTGGACCTTTGGATCAGATCGAATTGGATGATATGATTTGATCAAAAATTGGAATGAATTCGAACCATTCCCTTATTCATTTATTTATGCATATATTATTTATATTGTTTTTTTTTTTGTAAATTTGTTCTATTATTTATTTTTTTATAAAAAACATATATATATATATGATGAAAATAGTTGACAAGAAACTTGTATTTTTTTTTCTTGTTTTTCTTTGTTTAAATTGTTAATTTGTAATAATTTATTATTTTTTTAAATTAAACCATATCAGATTCAATCCGAATATCCGACTTCCTTATTAGATTCAAAATCAAATCAATGTTTGTGAGATCCGATTGGATCAGATCTTCTGTTCATGGTATGAGATAAGATTTGGATATATACCCTAATTCAAATTTGATCCAATCCATTTACATCCTATATATGAGTGTTTAACCAAACTGTGGGCCTTTTTTCTAAGCCAAACTGATGATCCTTCGGTTTTTGGGAAATTGTGAACTGAAACTAATCAATTAATCAGTTCAATTTTTTTATTGATTCGGTTCTTTAGTTTTTTGAGTTTTGTAATTTATACTATATATTATAAAATGATTATATAATTATATAATATAAATAATATAAATATATACCGGTTGGATCGATTAACCACTGGAAACTAATTTTTCACATTAATTAACCAAAACCAAACTGGTATCTTTGATTTTTCCAAAATACTAAAGTGATCAGTTTGGCCAACCGAAATAGTTGTAGCATAACTTGGGATCAAATCATCAAATCCCTTTCTAACCCAAGGTTGGTTATAGGTTTGGGAGATGGCTACCTCATTTCTCATTTTATAGCTGCACGAGAGAGAGAGAGAGACCAATTCCTAAATACCAACCTTTGAACTGCCTCAGTAAAGAGCTGGAGTTCGTCAAGAGAACCATAAATATCATAAACATCGTCAATTACATTTATAAGAGAAACGGCTTTCGTAAGTTGTCGTCTACCAAATCCGAACTCAGGCTGAAACATGGCTCCAACAGTAAACAAGAAACACTCCACTAACCAGTCTCTAGAAAAGCTTAGTGCCTTTCCCAGGCCCAAGTTGTTCCACCACCTGAATGCATTGTGAAGGAAGAAATTTAAAGTTAGAAGCATTAATTTTTGTCTAAGAAAGTGCCAGTTTCTATATGTCTGGATATGGTCATGCATCGAAACAAGATTAAACTCGAGGTTTTTTAAAACCCAACTGAACAGGGAACCGTTGGGTCCGGTTCCCGGGTTGAACAGTCCAACTGTTCAAATTAATGTTTTAAAAAATGATCCGAAAATGGAACCGTTTTAGGCACTGGTTTCTGGGTTAATGGTCCAACTGTCCAGTTTGAACAGATGGCCCGTTCTGACAGTAAAATTAAAAAATAAAAAACAGTCAAAAACTGTTGAACAGGTCAACAATTTGTTGACTTTTTCAACGGTTTTAACCAGATTCCAGGTTTAGAGTAAAACGAAACCGATTGCCTAGATGATTCTTAGGCCAAACGGTTCCCAGTCCGATCTGATTATAAAAACATTGATTAAACATTAGAAATAAATGGTTGGACTGGTTAGCTTACATTGTTCTTCTTGGGGCAACCGCACTGAATTGGAACCCACCGTTGCTAATTAAACAAGTACTTGATATTGTGATAATATTTGTTAATGGTTATTACATGTAATATATATTTTGTGTCTTTATTTATTATAAATGCACATGTTATATATATATATATATATATAGTCTCAAGTTATTCTACCTAAAAGCTTAAACTGTTAAGCAAGGTCTCTGAATAGGTTTTTTCACACGAGGGTTATTTGGCTTTAAGTATGGACAAACATAAAAGCTTAAGCTGTTAAGCAATGATCAAACACTAGACCAGTTGGTCAAATAGGATCTAATGCCATCATAAGAAACCCTTCAACATAAAAGCTTAAGTTGTTAGGTGAAGTCCCAAGTGATTTTATTCTCTGATCATGTAGAAGTATATATGTATTAATGAATATGTATATATATATATATATATATACCTGGAGACATGCTTTAGGTCCTCTTGATGCGTCGCCTGCACCAAGTTGAAGTCTAACTTAGCAAATTTAAGTAACAAGGGATCCATATCTTCTCTCATCCCATATGTATCTAAGAACCATCTGGCCTCCATCCTTTGCATCCTCCAATGCAAAGGCAGTTCCATGGCATGGCTGATTTCTCTGGTAAGGTCTGGGGCTATATTCTCTTTGAGCTTTTTCTTGAGCTGTCTTCTTGTGAAGCGTTGCGCCTCATCCAGGATGCTTTCGCCTTCGAAAGCATAATAAGAAGCTTCATACAAACTCAATATTGTCCTTATATCCTTGCAAACAGGTCCACCAAAAGTAAAATAACCATCGCCTACCTCCTCCTTAAAGCTCTTAAAGACATCTGATTATTCAATTTGTTCAGAAACATCTACTGGTTAGAGAGAGAGACCCAAAAATTGAACTAAAATAAGAAAGAAAGAAAGGGAAAAAGAAAAAAAAAAAGTGAAGAAAGAGATCTCAGTACCCTGAGAGACTTGAAACCCATGTTGCCTAAGGAGCCTGAATCTTAAAGCTTGGGCATATATTTCTTCCCCCGCACAGAAGTTGTTGTCCTTGATGGATATTATAGTCTCTAGAGCCCCCTTGATCTCAGTTTGGAAGTGATACCCCATTCCTAACCTCTCAACTGTGTCAATGAGCTCTAGCAGTGCCAATGGCTCAGCCACCTCATTGAACTTTCTTCTGACTTCCTCCCCCAGCTTCTTGGCCCACCTCACGTATCTCTCCCCCTATTGAAATAATCAAGCTTAACTTAATGTAAACAATATGTTCAGTAACAAAAAATAGTTAAAAAGAGAGTAACTAATGTATAAATGATAATAATCACCGTGAAATCAGTTTTCAGAGATTGCACAAAATCATTATCCCATATGCTTGGCTGATAGTTTCCTGATCGCCTAGCAGCTGCTGTGAATTGGGATACTAGAGAGCTACAGAAGAATAATCGGACATGCTGAGACGTCACATGAAGATTTTGCAGTGGCCTAGCCAGGGGATCACATGTTTGTGAAAATTTCTTGGAGGAGAAAAGAGATGAGTGTGAAAAGGAAATAGAAAGAGCCATTGAGCTGAGGTTAGCGAATGTATGTGGAAATTAAGGGTTATGAGCATTTATATATTAATCCAGTTGCATGTATCCTACAGAAATTCCCAAAATATCATCACTTCAAGTCTTCAATTATGCATAAGTGGTAGATTTAAAAAGTAGCCACTTAGATAATGGACCCCTTATTAATTAATTGTTATGATCAAATCAGCAGTCCAATAATTCTCAACATGTTTCATGTGTTAGAAATTAAGAATAAATTAATTAACATAGTATCATATTTTCATTATTATATTTTTATTCAATTCTTTGGGAAATATGTATGCTTTTTTCATATGGAAATTTTAGAATAAATTAGACGTTATATAATAAAATGAATTGACAAAAAAACACCAATAAAATGAAATTAAAATATATGTTAATTTTATGTAGACACATGGATATATATATATACAACAACTTAATCAAATCTTAAATTATATCAGATGTCAATATAATTATAGAACTTATTTTCTTTCTTGAGAGAAAATCCAGTGGCTCATTCATTGAATTGCATATTCCTCAACAGGAACTTAATCTCGTAGGCAGAGGAAGTTTTCAGTAGGAAGCCAAATTCAATTAGTGGGGATGAAAACCTTTTTTTTTTTTTTCCAGTAGAAGGGGCTGCCTAGTTATTATGCATTATTTATATGCGTTTATGGACAACTTGTCAGTATTGATAAAAGTTGCTTTCTCACATCTGGGAAAGCCTCTCCATCCCGAATTGGGATTGCTGTTGCGGCCATTGAATTTCAGCAAAAAACAGTTCCCCTTCACCTACCTACCTTAGGTTCTCTAATCTCAAAGGGAAGACTTAAAGCTATTCACTTTGCAAATTTGCTGGGGAAAATATCAAGGCGTTTAGCTTGTTGGAAAGGTAAGTTTCTCTGAAAAAATTACATTCATTAAACATGTTCTTGTTGGAAAGTGTTGTTAGAAGATTGTCTTTTATGGCAAATTTCCTTTTTTGGACTGGTATTGGGTTGGAGTAAAAGTTTCATTGGCTTAGATGGGAAGGATTTTGTTTTCCCTTCAAAGAGGGGGGCCTCGGGTTTAGACGTCTGGTGTAGGGGTGTAAATGGATTTAATTCCAATCGGATCAAGAAATATCCGAATTCGAATTCGATTAAAAAATTTGATATCTGACGGATATTAAAAATCAATATTCAAATTTGAATCCAATTAAATATTCGAATATTCAATTCGATGAATTAATTATTTTAGATAATTAATAAATATTTTATTTATATAAAATATATAAATTATTTATATAATTTAATTATTATATATTATAAATAATATAAGACATTTAAGTATTTTATATATTATACATAAGAAATAAATAATCGGTCAAATTCGGATATTTATCAAATCGAATCAGTTCATATCCAAATTCAAATTCAATTAACTATTCGGCATGAAATTCAACTGATTAGATATTTAAATTATATATCCAAATTTGATTCAATTTTATCAAATCTCAAATTCAAAATCAGATTTTTAAATAAATCTGGAAGAGGTTACCTTGATCTTTCGACAAAATCTATATGGCAGATCCTTACTGAAAAGTCTCTTTTGCCTTTTTCGTTAGAGCCAAATATGTGAAGGAAAATCATTTTCGGTTCTATACCTTGCCGAAAAGACAGAATAGCACTTGCAAGGAAATTCAGGTGCGAAAAGACAGAATAGCACTTGCAAGGAAATTCAGGTGAAATTTTGTCATAGTTAGATAAATGGCTTCCTCTTGGTCCATTAATTGATTTGGCATTAGATCCTAATAATCCGGATTTAACTCTTCGGTTAAAGGATGTGGTGAATGAAGAAGGGGAAATGAGACTTCTCTTACATTGGGAATCAGCTTGATAATAATATTCTAATGACTTTCCAATCCAGTGGTGTTTCCCTTTCACATCAAGATGATAATTAGTGTCGTTGCACAAGGTTCAAATTTTTTCAAATTCTCATATTTTGGTCCAGTTAATATGTAAAAATAATTCTTCGCCTCATTATCTTTGGTATTGGGAGCAAGAGATTCAAATTCTTCCGAATTCCCTTGCCAACCATGCTTGTGACACTCGAGCTTCCACTTTTTTTTTTTATTCTACTGCTCGGTTGCCTACCTTTGTGAATATATGTTCATAGGAAGACATACTTGGTTTGCCTTATATAGTTTTTTTTTTTTTTTTCTATTCCCGTCTCTTTGTTTTTATATTGTATATATTTTATTAGCTAGAATCTTGGGGGGTGTTCTCTTTTTGGATTTTGAGAGGGGAAAAATTGGTCAATGGGATTTTGGTTCTCATTGACCAAGAATCCCATGTTCATTTTTGACATTAATGTATGTGGGGATTAGGGAAATTTTATTTTTTTGGGTATTTCTTAGATAGGTAAATAATTTTTCCACCTAGGAAGAAAGTTGTTAACACTAGAATAGGACAAAAATACCCCATTTAATAATAGATTTTTATGACTAAAATGGTGATTATCTTATTTACCTGAGAAATAAAAGAACATTGGTAAATGCACTTACCCGGGTAAGTGTTTCCCAGTAAAAACTTACCCAGATAATTGAATTTACCCGGGTAAGTAACTTACCGAAAAGCAAACCAGGCCTTTGTGTATAGCTTTTTTAGAGGGTAAGGTATTTACGTCCCCCCTCATAGGTTTTTCTTTGATTATTATTTAATAAAATTTACGGTGGCCACCCCCTCCATCGAGAGTAAAGTTTGGGGTTAAAAAAAGTGGCAGGTTAATAATTTAACTTTTCATGTCCAACGTTTCAAACATTGATGTTATAATTAAATTATAAAAAAATAAAATAAAAACACAAAAAATATGAAAAATACAAAATATTTTGTGAAAAATATTTGAGTACATCCTTTTATTCGAAAATATTAAGTATGGTAAATAGGAATTATTCGAAAATATTAAGTTCGGGCACACATCATCATTGCAACTATACTCTTTATTCCCACACTCATGTTACTTGCCATGCTCATGAACAGAGGTGGCAATTGGGCGGGTTGAACCCAATCCATCTAACCTGCCAACCCATTAATGACCCAATTCGATAGAATTAAATGGGTTGGGTTCAACTCAAACCCACTTGAACCCAACCCATTTAGATAAATTAATGAAAATTACACAAAAATAACCTAGAAAGTGAAGAAAAATAACATAAATTACAAAGAAACAAATAAATACATTAAAAGTAACATAAATTACAAAAAACCATAGAAATACACGGAAAAATAACATAAATTACAAAAAAAAAGGTCCATAAAATAAAGAGGAAATTTCACCTCTATTCAATGTCCAAATCCCACCAGCTTTTCTCCAGATTTAAGAGTTGGGAATAATTCCTCTTGGAATTAAAAGAAGATTTTAAAATTTAAGTAGGAAAACCTCAACTAAAAATGTTAAATTTGAAAATCCTAATTTCAGAAAATTATGTAGTGGTGAAGAATGAATTTTTGTCCAAAAAAAAGTATCAAAATAAAATGCAGAGAAAAAAAAAGCAAGTAGAAAAGGAATGAAATGCTCCAACCTCGCCAAAATCCTCTGCTTATATACAAGTGAAAAATGAACAATTGCAACGAGTTTGAGAGATGTGAATGGCTTACCAGTAGTTAGAGGTGTAAATCAAGCCGTGCCACCCATGGCTCGGCACGAATTTGGACCGGACCAACACAACCCGACACAACCCATATATATTATATATTATATATATATTTATATAATATTATATAAATTATAATTATATAATAATATATAGTATATAATGCATTAATAAAATAAATAAATTTTTAATTTAATTTTATTAATTTATTTACTTATTGTATATATAAGCAATTGTATACATCAAAATCCATATAAAATTAAAATTTTAAGTTTTTTGCCAAATTTTTTAAATAAATAACTTTGGCCCGATGCATGGCCTGACCTAGCCCAAGGCTCAGTCTACGGGCCAACCCGGCCCATAGCACAGAATGGGCCCGCACGGGCCTAGGCTGTGGGCCATGCCGGGCTGACCCCCTAAGTTATCCCAGGGGAGGGCGGCACGACTCGCGGGCCGGAACAACATTGTCCACACTTTGCACAGACTGCCCACAGGTCGTGTTGTGCCAGCCTAGCAAGACCCGTTTTACACATCTACCAGTAGTTTTCGCACCAGTATCATATTTCCAGCATGAACTGTGACTTCAAGAAACAACGCTGTCACGTTAGTCTCGAACTCCTTGTACTCAATCCAAATTTCACCGACCACGACTTAAGGCAAGAGCCCCAATACTATTCACATCACCATAAGAATCAATGATGCACTCTAATCTTCTCTAACAATTGTAGTAATTAAGAAAAAATGTAGGTCTTGGCACAAAGAGAGAGAGGAAATCGTGGAAAACGGGAGGAGTAAAGCTCTTTCCAAATAATAAAAGAAAGTAGCCTTATTGGATGCCCCTTGGATGCCCATGACCCAACCCACCCAACCACCCACCCACATTAACAAATACAACCCAACCCGCTAATAAATGGGTGGATTGATCGGGTCGGGTTGTAAATTGCCACCCCTACTCATGAAGCTTTAAAACAGCCCATGTTTTTTAAAAAAACTGCCAAACTCTTTTTCCCTTGATGAGGCTACAGAATGGGGGTGCTCCATCCCTCCATACCTAGCGGTGGCAATTGGGTGGGTTGGGTCCCATCTAACCCGCCAATCCATTAATGGCCCATTTATATAAAATTAAATGGGTTGGGTTCAACCGAAACCCGTTTTAACCCAATCCAACCCGTCCAAACCCATTAATTTTATATTTATGGACTTAAAAAACAAACTAATTCTCTCTTAACAAATAAGTTGGTCATATCTTGGTGGTAATTGTAGTTACTGTTTGCATAAGTGGTGAAGGTTCAAATCACATTGCATGCATGTTATTTTTACACAAGCGGCCAAAGCCATTTGACTATGTCCGGATTTTGGG